CTGAATTCCAGGGACAAATCTGCAGGGTCACTACAGTAAGTACTGACCCTAAGAAATGCCTCTAGAATATTGGGGATAGAAGATAAGACAGCAGCATGCTAGTCCTCCTAGGTTTGCCCTAGCTCCTGAAGGCAGTGATAATGGAGAAAATGAGAACTTCGCCACTTCTCCATGCCAATAAATAGCAAACACTGTCTACCTTTTGAGGTCAGATGGAATCAACTTTCTAAGCTCCTCGTCCTCACAAGACTCTTAACTTGTCTCCATTTCCTCTTCCACAGGTGACAGAGATTGGCAAGGATGTGATTGGTCTAAGGATCAGCCCTCTGCAGTTTCGCTAAGCCACCCACCCTCACCCCCCTCTTTAGTGTGTGTGTGTGTAGTGGAGTCACTATTATTTTCCTTCCAGAGAACCAGTCCTCTTCTCATCCTTCTAGCAAACCCTTAGCCTATCTTAGATTATTGACATTTGACTCTCCCTTCCCTAAAGTGGTCATTGCCCTAACGTTTTTACTGTGGTTAATCAAATGTCTATCAAGCTCCTCATCTTCCGAAGCTGACTGTAGTTGAGTCCTACCTTAGATCTTTTAAGAAACAAAATTAGTTTAGTAAATGCATTGATTCTATATTTATCCCTCTGCTTCCCCCCATCTTGGTGTCCTCTTTGCTAGAAAGGAGGCAATGTAATAAGATGCCATTTTTCAGTCAGCTCGACCAAACTTTTCCCATTTTCCTGGCATTGAAACTCCCGAGTCGGTACTCTCCATGGACCTTGCAATTTAAGGTCTGAGAGGAAACAGTTTTATTTTCCAAAAATATATACTGCTTTCTGTTGATTTTTCCTTTACAACCATTGTTCTCATATTTTGTTTCACCAAATAAAGTCATTTTCTACAATTGCTTCTTGGCTTATTTGTTTGCTGGACATTGAGGTTTCTGCTTACACACACACACACACCCCATTTAGCTGCCTCACTAAAAATACTTTCCTTGCAAGAGTTCTTTTTATTATAAAAGTAACTAATACCCAACAGTTTAAAAAACATAAGACTTCCATTTTAGAGAGTTTTTGTGAGCCCTAGGCCTAAGCTTAGAATGGTAGACAAGTAGCTTTTCCATTTGATGTTTTACTGCAACCTTCCACCGATTGTTAATTATAGCTATTATTTAATGAGCCTTGACCATGTGTCTGTTACTGTTCTGGATGTTTTAAATGTAATATGCATCTATAAAAATAATAATACAAATATGTATATATTATAACAATTACTTTGACAGTAATTGTATTTTCCTTGACATCTAATGAGACTATTAGGTAGTGATACACTGTGCCTTTGATTAAGTACTTTTGACATTAAAATTTTAAATGTTTTTGTTAATAAGCAATACATTCACATAATTTAAAAATCAGTAAATGAATTAATGGATAAATGCTTTGTGGGAACAGACAGCCAAAAGCTATTCTCCGATAGTCCTTCCTCCCCTCTTGTCAGCCACTTAGTCCTACCACTGTCCCTCAAACAGGTAACAACTCCTAGCAGTTGTTTTATATCCTGCCAGAGGTTTCTTATATAAATACAAGTTGACATGTGCCCTTTCCTAGCCCTGTTTTATGCACAAATGGAAGTATCCTATTTAACAATTCTGCACAGTTTGTTTTTTCACTGAGCATACTTTTTTTCCCTATCCATGTGCTAAAAACGTTCATTCTTCTCTACACAGTGTTCCATTGTTTAACAGGTTAGTTGCCCCATGCTGATAGATATTGGGGTTAATTCCTTTCTTTAGGTATTATAGACAATGCTGAAATGAATAGCAAACAAAAATGTACAAGCGAGGGACATGTAACGAGATAAATTCCTAGAAGTGAAGTTCTTGCTTCAGCAAGCACTAGCCTCTCCACCTTTGTATGATGTGAGTCACTTTCATCCTCAAACTAAATCTGACGTCTTAGAGTTTGTATACTGCTTTGGTAACACTTTCCCACATTATAAACGTTCTTCCTGTAAGCGTAGACAAGATGGTGAAGCTTGGCAATAAAATTAACCTTTAAGTTTAAAATTTTTATATTAACTTTGCACACAACATAAACATTTGCTTAAACACAGATATGGAAATTATGCTATAGCACAGCACCACCATCTTGATGTTTATGTAATTGAAACAGGATGGACAAGTGTGAAATAATTGTGAATGGCTGACAAAAATTTGTAGATGGCCAATAAGCAGTGGAGAGCCTTTATGTTTTTTTATTTTGTTTTTAATCTTCAGAGCCAGTTTTGTCCCAGCTCTATAACTTTGGTGCTGGTGGTTTGCCAACCATTAAGTTCTTTAAGAGAATGATAGCAAGCAAATGCTGTGAAGAAATTGTTTTGCAACCGTGCTCACTCTCCATTAGAGGGGAGCAGCCAGGAGGAAGTCAGTACTGAGGTGAGATGTTTGAAATGTCAGCCATAGGATAGAAAAGCGTAAAAGATGAAAAGAAGCATCAGACTGTGTGGATACTCTTAATTTTTTTTAAATTTTATATAGTAGTTTTCTTATTAACCTGTTTGTGTTACCACTTTCAGCATATGCTTGTCATAACTATATTAGAGGCACACATGTAAGGAGTCTGAGTTGAATATGAAAATTAGCCTAGAATCAGTTGTTGGGCTGAATAGGACCTTAGAGTACCAGCAACGGTAGTGTTTGATATTTGTGAACTGGAGAAGTCTTCAAAAGGACAGACACAATGATTTAGGGACAGTTAGGAATGGAATTTAGATCTCTGGCTCTCAGTTTGCAATTTTTTCTCCCACATCACACCATTTGGAAGGAAACAACAGGTTTTAAACCAGCATGGTTTTCACAAGTCTGCCATTATCTGTGAAGGAAAAAGGTAAGTACCTAATCTGGTGCTAGTACTCAAATGTTTGTTTAGGAATCTAAGGGCCAAAGAGACCAAGTGAGGGGAAGTTCTCCTCTGGCCTATAGAGTCACTACGAGTTGGCATCAACTTGATGGCAGTGAGTTTGGCTTATCTCTTTTTAGGATACGTTGTATCATACATACAGTGTTTAATCCTACCTTCCGCCCAATCCCCACACAGCTGCCACAGAGTTCCTGATTTCTCTCTCGATCCTTTAATATGTCCAGCACTGGATTTTAAGACAGTGGCAATCTGAGTTGTAAAATAGATTTGTCTCTGAGGGAGTTACATTCTGACTGATCAGAATAGCACTGTCCAGAGTTGTTTCAAAATGCAACTGGAAGCTGAGTTCCATGTGGAGAAAAGGGGAGAGAACAGGAAAGACGAGACTCGATCAGGCCCATTACTACATTTGAATTGGCCCTTTGTGCAGACTAAGGCCCAGGGTTGCTTTTTTTTCCTGTTGGATTGCCTCAGTATTCTTAATTCATTTGAGTTATGTACTACATAACTGGCCCTGGATCCTTTATTCTAGCAGTTCTTGTGAAGTACAGGAAATGAGAGATGTCTTGAATCTAGCAAAGAAGCTGCCCATGTAAGAGTCAAGGAGAACAAAGGGTTGCAATGAATACCTGTTAAATATAGGCCGGAGACTCGGCAGTAGGACAACAGGGAACAAAACCTGTTCTGCATGGTGTTCAAATTGAAGGTCAAGGAAGAGAGACAAGATTTTTTAAAAATCTTGTCAGATGATGTTTAGTGTTAAGAAAAATAGAAGCCCTGAAGGAAAATGTTTTGTATATATATGAAGGTTTGTAACTTTATTCAGTGAGACCAAAGAAGGATGTCTCAAAGAAAAAGTTAAAAAAAAAAAGATGGGTTGGGGTGGGGCAGAATAGTATAAGTTCCTATGGCCTCCAATTGTCTTGGTTATTTATACATGCATACCTTCTGGTTGTTTTGTGGGCAGTTTGCCCTAATCTGATCTACCTACAGCTTAAGAAGATATAATGAAAGGGCACCTTCTTTAGATGATGGCTGCCAGGTCAGCAAACAGCCAGGCAGAAGATCACAATAAATTGCCCTCGAGCCCCTGTCATTCAATGATCTCTGGCAAGAAGCTTGCCATCAAGCCAGTCCTGACTCAACTCATGTTTTTGGATGCCACCGTTGATGCCACCGTCCGCTCCAACCCATAGCAACCCTATGTACAGCAGAACAAAACACCGTGTCGTCTGCCATCCACAATTGTTCCTGTGCCTGCGCCCATTAATGTCACTGTGTCAGTCCATCTCCTTGAGGCCTTCCCCTCTGCTGCCCCTCCTCCAGGGATGAACTCCTCCCGACAACATGTCCAAAGTATGTAAGATGAACTTTAACCATCCTTGCCTCTAAGGAGCACTCTGGCCATAATTCTTCCAACACAAATTGGTTTGTGCTTTTAGCAATTTTATGGTACTTTAAATATTCTTCTCTAGCACCACAATTCAAATGCATAGATTTTTCTTCAATGTTCCTTGTTCAATGTCTTATTTTCACATGCATATGAGAGGTGTATTGGAGAATACCGTGGTTTGGGTCAAGCGCACCTTAGTCCTCAAAGTAACATCCTTGCTCCTCCGTACTCTAAAGGTGTTGTGCAGCAGATTTACCTAATGCATATGTTTTGTGATCTCTTGACTGCTATGTCCATTAGCATTGTGGATTCAAGCAAGCCAAAATCCTTGAAACGTCAACCTTTTCTCCATTGATCATGATGATATCTTTTGGTCTAATTGTGAGGATTTTGGTCTTTGTAATCCATACTCAAGTCTGCAATGCTTGATCTCATCAGCAAGTGCTTCAATTCCGCTTTCTTCCCCAAAGTAGCTAGTGGACTTGAAGCGCCGACTTTGGAGTTAGCAAACCTCACCCCACCCCCTCTGCTCCCGCCTCCAAGGCCTGGCTCGCAAGGCTCCTCCCTCTCCCAGCGAGAGCAAACGCTCAGCTTTCTGTCCCTTTAAAAATGGCGGCTCTGGACTCGGCCTCAATCCTATTGGTTGTTCCAGGCAGAAGGGGGCGGAGGCAGCGAGAGGTGCTCAGAAGCCCCGCCCCTACGGCAAGCCGGAGGTAGCAAGATGGCCGCCGCTGAGGAGGACTTCGGAGTCGCGGCCGACGCTGACCGGGAACTGGAAGAGCTGCTGGAAAGTGAGAGCCCCGAGGGAGAAGGGGCGGGTGTGAGGACTCGTTCCGGGGGTCGACCGGGCCTGAGAGGTCTGAGGCGGGCGGGAGAGCGCCTCCCAAGGTTGGACGGGGCTCGGAGGTCCGACGGTGACTCCCACGAAAATCTCTGGGTCCCCCTCTCCTTCGCGGCGGGAGTTGGGGAGCTCCTTTCTGGCCGCGGATGACCCAGGCCGTTGACCTCCTCGCCGGAGGGGGAACGGTGCCCGCCCCGCAGAACGGCGTTCCCCGATTCCTCGTCGAACTCTTTCTCGAGATGCCGAAGTGCTCACGGGCCCCTTCCCTCCGGCCGCGGTGCGGCTCACCCCTCGGAGGCGGCGGCGCGCCCCTCCTGCCCTGCTCTGCCCTGACCCGCACCGGAGACGCCGCTTCCCTCTCCCGGCCCGGCCCCTTTCCCTCACTGGGCCCCCTGCCAGGTCCCGTAGCGGGCCGGTAGCCCGAGCCGACTCGGCAACCATTTTCGTCCGGAGCGGAGGACGAGCCCGCCGCGGGGTCCGCCAACTGACTCCCTTGGAAGCGGGCCCGCCCCACTTGGCGGGTTTCTGGCCCGGTGAGGCCAGTGCGTCTCCCCACCCCTCCCACGCCCCGGCCCCAGGCCTGGCAAGCAGAGTGGTGGTGGCGACCCAGGGCCCGCTACATTGTCTCTTGCCTAACAGAGCGGTGGGGAGGTGAGCAGAAACGGGGAGTGCCAAGCGACTGGGTGACTTGCAGAGATGGGGCCCGCTGGAACCCCAGGAGCCTTGCTGAGGGGAGGCTCAGGTGGAAGCTAAGAGCAGAGAGTGCCCCTCAATTCGTGCTGGCTCCAGGACCCGTGGAATCTCCAGTGCACTTGACGTTCTTGGGCCCCCAGGCGAATTCAGGGCTATGTTCTGTGCTCCAGTTGCACACTTATATGGGTTTTATCAAGAAGCCTTACTGTGTGGTGTGCGAGGAAGGATCATGTAAATGGAGATTACTTGGCCCTTTGCAGAATTTCTTTTGACCTGTTCCTCCCAGCTTTGAGACCGACTTACTTGTTCCACCTTTAGAGATTTCTTCCTCTTGGAAGAAATCACAGTACACCAGGTAATGGGAGAAGTGGGAAACTTATTGAAGGATATAGCTTGGAGGTGGAGACCCCCCCAAAAGGAGAAAAATGTATGAAAGTTGGCAATTTGGATGGTTGTTCTTCTAATGCTTTACCCAGGGAACGACCCCCTCCCCTCCCCTGCCATCCTTACCCATCCCCAACACACTGCGTCTCTTGTCTCTGAAGGTGCTCTTGATGATTTCGATAAGGCCAAACCCTCCCCAGCACCCCCAACTACCACCACCACCACCACCACCACTCCCGATGCATCGGGGCCGCAGAAGAAATCACCAGGAGACACAGCTAAAGTATAAATTCCAAACCATTAAGGGACGGGGAAGGGAGTGGGCATGAAGCTCTGAACCAAGATGGGGCATTCCCCTGTGGGCCCAGAGGGGTTGGGGGTGGGCGGAAGCTTTGGCCTCACATTGCTGAGTGCTCCTGCCCGGTCTCCATCCTTGTAAAACCGAGGCTTGAGGTTAAGTGGCGGGATCTCAAGGAAGTTTCTTGAGTAAAGAGCAAGTTAAAATGTTTAGATTAGTATGCTACCTGAGGGTAAATGCCTTCTTTGCTGTCCTCTTCTACAGAGCTAGTTAAAATTTCCAGTGGAGGTGTGTAGGAGGGAGGCACTGCATTTCCCAAAGCCACTGCCTGTGGCTTCTACACAGGCCAGGTGCAGTGAGGTGCCAAGTAAGAGACACATGTTTCAGCCAACCCCCCCTTGCAGGATGCCCTCTTCGCCTCCCAAGAGAAGTTTTTCCAGGAACTGTTCGACAGTGAGTTGGCTTCCCAAGCCACTGCAGAGTTCGAGAAGGCAATGAAGGAGTTGGCCGAGGAAGAGCCCCACCTGGTAGAGCAGTTCCAAAAGCTCTCGGAGGCCGCCGGCAGAGTGGGTAAGGAGGGGGTCCCAGGCAGCTGAAAATAAGAGAAGTAAAACTGTCATGGATGCTTGAGAACACCAGAATTCTTTGTCATGTTGATGGTAACTCTGGTGCCTGTCACTGTCATGGAGGAGGGTTAAGAGAGGAGATGGGAGAAAGGATGGGAATCTGGTTTAATAAAAGAGATGAGATCATTTGGAAAGTTACAGAAAAGATTCATCACAACTGACCATTTTGAAGGGTGCACTGTTATTCTGGGTGCCATCATGGATAATAAACGGACACACAGGCCATACTGATTTGACTGTGAAGATAATCAGATTTTAAATATTTGACATGATAGTGATTCATTGGTAAATGATTAGCCAGGCAGTTAAAAATCCCAAATGACCCCTCATTCTTTGATCTTTCCTAGGCAGTGATGCAAACTCCCAACAAGAATTCACTTCTTGCCTGAAAGAAACATTAAGTGGACTAGCCAAAAATGCCACTGACCTTCAGGTGAGTAGGCTGGATGGGTAACCACATGGGGCCCACTCCCATATTCCTTCACCAGCAGAGTCTCAAAAGACAGAAGCCGTGAGGTATCATCCCAAGTCTATCCTTGCCTCACTCTTATAAAAATAGGCATGTTTGAGTAGTTCTTGAGCTTCTACTTTCTCCGTTGAAAGGAAGGATGGTGACCCATCCTGAGAAGACAGTGTGTTCACCTTTCTAGAACTCAGGCATGTCGGAGGAAGAGCTGAACAAGGCCATGGAGGGGCTGAGAATGGATGAAGGGGATGGCGAAGGGAACATCCTTCCCATCATGCAGAGTATCATGCAGAATCTACTCTCTAAGGATGTGCTGTACCCATCGCTGAAGGAGATCACAGAGAAGGTTTGTGATCCTGTTTCTGCTTTTCCTTCTTGCTTTCCATTGTACCAATTCATATGGGCGACTTTGTGCTAAGGGCCTGCAGATAGAGTCTAAGATGAATGTGCAAGTCCCTAGGTTTCCGGTTGTTTGTTTTTCTTTTATTTATTTGAAATATGTATGACTGGGGGAGTTATTTCTCGGGATAAATCAAAGTTACCACACTGAAAATCTCTGGGATAAGAGAGGAATTCTTTACGTTTTATTTCCTATAAACTGGCTCATGACTCTGGGACGAACGCCTTCCTGTAGTTCTAAATTCACTCACCAGAGTTTCGTAAAGTTTATGGGAAAATGCCATTATCTTTTCTTTCAATTTTTCCACAGACTTTTTGAAGCCAACCTGGCCGCCTCCCCTCTTACTTCCCCTACAGTGATTCACTACTCACTCCCATCAAGTCGAGTCGATTCTGACTCTTGGCAACTATATAGGACAGGGTAGAACTGCCCATGTGGGTTTCTGAGACTGTAACTCTTTACGGGAGTAAAAAACTTCATCTTTCTCCCAAGGAGCGGCTGTTGGTTTTGAACAACTAACTTTGAGATTAGTTGCCCAACATGTAACCACTATACCACAAGGCCCCCACTAAGGTTTATGTTCATCAGCACTAGCTTTGTGCCATGAACAGTCCTGTAGTTAAAGAGCATATGCTTTTACTATAGGCATAGGCATTTTTCAGTGACATCAGGCAGCATACAGTTAAATGCGAAATGACTGGAATAGATCAGCAGTTGGCAACACTATAAAAAGGGCTTTCGACGTGATCGCTAAAGACAAAATGGGTAGGGCTCATCTAGCTGAGAAGCAACAAAGTCCACATGGAAGAAGCACACCAGCTTGTGTGATTATGAGGTGTCGATGGGATCAGGTATCAGGCATCAAAGACCCAGAACAAAAAATCATCAATGTAAATGAGGGGGAGTGCAGAGTGGAGACCCAAAGCCCATCTGTAAACAATTGGACATCCCCTTACAGAGGGGTCACAAGGAAGAGACGAGCCAGTCAGGGCGCAGTGTAGCACCAAGGAAACATACAACTTCCTCTCAATTCTTTAAAGCTTCCCCCCCACTGTCATGATCCCAATTCTGCCTTAGAAATCTGGCTAGACCAGAGCGTGTAAACAGGTACAGATAAGAGCTGGAAACAAGGGAATCCAGGACAGATATACCCCTCAGGACCAATAATGAGAGTAGCAATACCAGGAAGGTAGGGGGAGAAATGGGGGACCGATTATATAACCCCCTCCCTGGGGGATGGACAACAGAAAAGTGGGTGAAGGGAGATATCAGCCAGTGTGAGACATGAAAAAATAATAATTTATAAATTTTCAAGAGGAGGGGGAGAAATGAGCTGATAACCAAGGGCTCAAGTAGAGAATGTTTTGAAGATGATGATGACAACCAATGTACAAATGTGCTTGTGGATGTATGGATTATGATAAATGCTGTATGAGCCCCCAATAAAATGATTAATAATAAGTAAAATAATTATTTTTTTAAGGTTTTTTTTTTTTTACATTTTTATGCTTGATCTTAGCCAAAAGGCCCAGAAGCGATGGGGGGGGGGGGTGTTACATTTTTTAAGGGTTGTTTAAAAAAAACACAAAACATGACAGAGACCATGTCTGACCCACAAAGCCTACCTACCATCTGGCCCTCCACCTAAAATAGTTTACCAAACTCTAGTGTAGACCTTAAGTACAAGCTCTGGCATAATAAGCAAGTGATCTGGTTTGAGTAGGTGCTATTTCTTATGCAGAACTTGCTAATTTAGCTTTAGCCTCTCCAAGTCCCCCCTCCCTGCACATTGTAAATGTGCTCACTGCTTTTCCTTATTCACTGTTCAGTTAATTCCTAACTCTCCATTCTCCCTTTTCTCAGTACCCAGAGTGGTTGCAGAGCCACCATGAATCTCTACCTCCAGAGCAGTTTGAAAAATATCAGGAGCAGCACAGTGTCATGGGCAAGATATGTGAGCAATTTGAGACAGAGTCCCCTACCGACAGTGAGGCCACTCAGAAGGCTCGTTTTGAGATGGTGCTGGATCTTATGCAGCAGGTAAAAACTTCTGGTGCTCTTTGCTTTGGTGTTGAGTAGGCGGTATCAGAAAGGCTGCCACAGTGCCAAAGCTGGGTGATCAGGGAACAGAAGAGTAGTCACATAGCATGGTCCTCAGGAAAAAGCCCAGAAATCACAGCTCCTGTTGCTTTTCTGGGCTGCTGTCATATTGTGGGGTCTGTTCCCCGCTGCTATCTCATGTTCCTCTCTCCTTATTTCTAGCTACAGGACTTGGGTCATCCCCCAAAAGAGCTGGCTGGGGAGATGGTGAGTATTTTTGTTGCTCCTAGATTTTAACCAGACCCCGACTTTTCAGAATTTGGTAACCATTAATGATTCCATCTAAGGAGATAACTTTGGCTCTTGGGGTGAACCTTCAGGAAGTCTGACCTGACATGAGCAGTTGTCTGAGTTCCTTCATCTCTTCTCCAGCCTCCTGGCCTCAACTTTGACCTGGATGCCCTCAATCTGTCAGGCCCACCAGGTGCCACTGGTGAACAGTGTCTGATCATGTGAAACACCACACGTTTTCCTCCCTGGTTCCTAGCCAGGGGAAACATCTGGAGTCAGCAGAGCCGTGGGTAGCTGAGGCAGGAGTGTCATCTGTGGAGAGATCTGCCCAGTGCCCGCTGCCATCCCACCCGAGACAGTGCCATGCCAGCTGAGGCTTTCCTCCTCTAGGAAGAAGGCCTGTTCTGTAGGCCACTTCTGTCAGCCCTGCTCGATTGTGGCTCTGCTGCTAACAGGCCCAGCAAAGGAAGCTTTCCAATTGGGCCAAGCACCTTCTTCCTTCTCCCCAAATGATGTTATTTATGGCCACACCGATCGAGGATCTCCTTTACACCCAGGGTCTTCGTGCCTTGTCTCTGTCCCCTGCCTTGGGCCAAGGGAGCCGGGACACAAACCTGGTACTCTATTTCTACGGTTCTGGGAAGGGCCTATGGGAACAGGGAGGATCTAGGCTGGAGCTGTGGTTTGTCATCATGCTGCTGAATTCTCTGATAAGACGGTTCACTTGGGAGGGAAGTCCTCAGCTCCCTGTTCCAGCCATGAACCCAAATTACTCTCCTGGTTCTTTCTACAAGACCATGTGAGCTAGGTGAACTCAGCCCCTGGCCTTCCTTTGCCCCTTGTCTTTCCTCTTTTCTCCCTTCTGTTTAAAACACTTATTTATTCCTGAGCCCAAGCAGTGACAAAAAAGAACCCACCCTGTTTCCTTTCTAGTTCACCTCTAGCTCATAGACTCACAACGGTCCCCTTCCCCACAGCAAGCAGACAGTTGTTGGGTAAGGTCTGGGAAATACTGATCTACAGATACATTCTGGTTTCTTTGAGACTTCTGATTTCCCTTAAGATCCTGTCCCTTGATTCAGGGAGGTGGCTCGGGATCCGGGGAATGGTGTAACTCGGGCCCCTTTTCCTGCAGGCCCGTGGAGCACTGTCTAATAAATATTGTGAGCGAGGTGTGTGGGCTGTTCTTCATCAAGGTCTTTTTCTGATCCCCCCCATCTTCTATAAGCTGCAGAGTGAAGAATGTTAGACCAGTTTTTTATAGCATTGCATTGCTGGCCGTCCAGTTGCTTATAGTAGGAAACCTCGCTCTTCTCCCCAGCTTTGTCTTCTGTACCTCGTTTGGCAAAGGAGACTTGATCCCCATCTTCCCTCAATATTTACATCTGGAAAGCCCTTCACATGCATTATATTTTAACCTATCACATTATTGATGATGATAATAATATATTGCTAACGTGTTTTTTAAATTGTTTCTTTTGGAGCTGACCTTATCGTTCTGTGTCAGAGCCAGTGCGTGGGCCTGTGGCCTATGGCTGCCATGCGTCGGTGGATAATCTGGTCCGACCAGCTGGGTCTCCTGGTTTGGCACACAGAACAATAACTATTGCCTGAGCACATTCACGTTCTTCATCGGAGTCACTTTGAGTAGCTGACATGGGTTAAGATTTTTCACGCCTTGAAGATCCACGTGTTCTGTGTGAGTGGCAAGGAAGGGAATGTTTTTGACCCTTTGGGCTGTTTGAGGATTTCCAGCCACTGTAACTTACCAGAGCATGGAAGAACCCAGGTCCGAAATGGAATCTCCTCTACTCTAGATGGGAAAAGTGTAGGCAAACTTTGGATGATGATGGTGAAGGTCGTAAGGCCTAATGGGCAAAATTTTGTCTCTAATAATTCCAGCCAAACACAGGACAAGGCTAGAAGGATTGGGAAACTAAGAGGCTGTTGTCTGTGCCACACACACCTTTTTAAAAAAAAGACGACAGTTCTCACCAGCCTGGCCAAGTTTTCTTCCAGGAATCTAAATAAAGGCTGAGTTTGGTTTAGTTTTGTTCCTACACCACTTTTTGTTTTGTTTGTTTTTGAACTTTTATTGTGATTCGGGAAAGTTTACAAAGCAAATTAGTTTTCTGCTCAGAAATTTATATGCATTTCGTTTCATGACATTAATTTGTATTCAACACAGACAAGTTGACGTCAAGTTTCCTTCTTTTGTAAAAACACTACAGGAATTATCTGAGAGCATGTGGAGCAATGTGTTGACAAGCCAGTTTGTTTTTGGTCATCTGGTCTTTGCAAACTAATGAGTTCCTTCTACTGCCCCTGTCTAGTGCTCACTGCAATCTGGATGTTACCACTGAAGTCTGACAGACGCTTTTTAGCAGGATCGCGCACTTAGACAGCAAATAAGGGATGGGGTGTAGCAGGGTAACACTGTGTTTAGAACGCTCAGTGTCTTGTGTTGTGGACTAGGGCAAACCGCCACAGACTACTGTAAGTCTGCAAACTACCTTTGAATGTTACTGCTGGAGAGCCTTCCTCGATGTTCCCATGACTCCCAGCCGGAATGGTGCATTTCTAGGCTTGTTGAAAGAGCTGGTCTTTCCTATGTAAAAGTTGCTGCTAGAGGGTGTTTTCCTTCAGCAGGAAGTTGTCAGTGAGGGCATCTCTAGCAATTTTCTAGCCTTTCCTGCTGTGTAAAAATAACCATTACAGTGTTCAAGTTTAAAATTTCTGGGAAATATTTATGTTCTCAAATTTTAAAAGAAATGTTTCTTTGCCTCCTAATTCTGAACACTAGAAAATGCATGTGTGGTTGTTTGAAGGTATTTCATGAGTTTAGAATTCATACAGAATTTGTAATATGAGTGGGCTCCAAAATTTTGTGGGGAAATGATTTTTTTCATCAATGTTTTGAGGCCTCCTTTTAGAAACATTTTTCTATGACCGGGAATCTAACGTCTCACAAAGGCTCCAGGAGACCGTTTTGATAGGCTATGTGATGGCTTCTGGAAGCTTGGGGAATAATGACCCACATTCGATGAAGCAGAGATAGTAGACCATAGGTAAAAGCATCAAAGACCTCAAGGCAAGTGGACTTGCCTGAATAAAATTGGGGAGCCCGCTAAATGTCATCGTATTTTAACATGGTGGTGTTTGAAAGCTTAGCCAGCTGACTATGTTCTTTAGGCCCCATTGCTTTACTTATTTTTATTGAGGTAATACATACACTGATGAATGACTCACCAGCATCTTTGAGAAGCTTAGCTGTGGCTGACCTCTAGGCTGAAGCTGAGATTGTAAAGATCTGAGGTCCGTAGTACTCTGGAGATGAAGGGAGCCTGGCATAGTAGAGACCAGATGGCAGCAGTTACTCTGGGAGCAAGGTGGATGACTCCATAATGGGAAGTAAGGTCAAAGTGGAAATGGCTAACAAAACACGGAGGGTCCTAGGGGCAAGACACGTGGGCAGCCGATGAAGGAACGGACTAAGAAAGATCAAGAATGGTTGAACAGAGGGCTGAGGTCAATGGAAAGTTACTATAGACAGGTCTTCGTAACAATTAAAAGGACTCAGCTCCCCACCCACGAGGCTTGAGGACCCTGCAACATGATGGCAAGTGTATGTAGTTGTGCAGTAGGTGATGGGGACCCACTTTGGTTGCTGTGTGGTAAGGATCAGCGTGAATCCAGTTCCCAAAATGTGTGTATGGAACTAGCCCTCACCTTCCCATTTTTATATCCTCGTCACCTCCGGTCCAAGTTGCCCTCCTGTCCAACACTAGCTACCTGGAGCTGTCAGTGGCTCGCAAGTTAGAAGATTGCTACTGGACTGAAGCACCAGCTCCTGCCTGCCTCTCACTGCCTCTATGGCTTCATTCATTCGCTGGAATGACTCAAAAGCTCTCACAGAGAGTGTACTATACTTATGACTACAATAAAGAACAAAAGATGTAAATGGTGGAGTTTATATAGAGTTTCTGCGGTCCCAACCTGGTGCTTCAGTGTCCCATAGAAGGACATGTTGATGCCTCATGTACGAGTGTCTTTAACCAACTAGGAAGTTCATTGCCTTCCTCAAGGGCAGGATAGATTGCAGCCTGCCACCTGAAGCAAGCCGAGTGTGTCCTCCCCAGGTGACCTCAAGCTGATCCGGCCTCCTTAGTTTCAGGTGCAGTCCAACTGATGAAAGAACAAACACACTGCTTTCTGCACTTCACAAATAGCTACTCCCTGTTCTTCCCCAAAGGGACCACTTATTCAGCTATATACTGGGGAGCCAATACTTATCTTGAGGACTAAGCACGTTTACTCAGGAACCGGAAGCACCATCAGATTACTCCCACCTCCCACCCTGTGATTGTTAGAACTGAGGAATAGGGGTCAGATGTGGACTCAGTCTATCATCTCACAGCCGATTCAAGTACCAACTTCACAGATAATTATGCCCCTGCTTTCCAAATGTGTATTTACAATGGAAAGATTTCACCATTGGCCTAAAGGCTAAGGGGAAGCCCCCAGAACCACACCTCAACTATTGCCAAGGTAACAAAACACAAAAGGTTTCCGTCTGGACATTGTGGCAGACTAGCGATAGCCTAAGCAACCTTACAGGATGCAAGGGTGTTGGTCCGCAGCATGTTCTCATTTCATTGAGCTGGCTGATGCCCGCCAAAACAGTTTCTGACGGGTCACTGAACTACTGCAAAGAAAGCTAATTGTCCCTATTGCCGTGCTGTGCCAAGCAGCTGTAGCTATGAATCTGTTACAAAGACCGAGAAGCCATAAGGCAAATTTGGCTCACGCCTGTTTTGTTTATAGATGTTTTTGTACCACACTGACAGTTTAGTTGTGATAACATCCATGTGACATGTTTATCCACTGGCCATTTACAGAAGTTTTTTTTTTTTCCCAAGTGCAAGCCATTTTATTATTGCAGATAGAAAAGTACATATGTGTGCTTCTCTTAACTCATTGGTTTAATTCCTTTTTTTAAAAAACATTTTATTAGGGGCTCATACAACTGTTATCACAATCCATACACACATCAGTTGTGTAAAGCGCATTAGTACATTCTCAAAACATTTTCTCTCCACTTAAACCCCTGACATTAGGTCCTCATTTTTCCCCTCCCTCCCCGCTCCCCCTTCCCTCATGAGCCCTTGATAGTTTATAAATTGTTATTTTGGGGATTTGTAAGGTAGAATTGGATCATGATGGGGAGGGGGGGGGCGGGTAGGAAGCATAAAATTTTAAAAATAATAAAATAGTTAATTTGTCATATCTTGCCCTGTCCGACGTCTCCCTTCACCCACTTTTCTGTTGTCCGTCCCCCAGGGAGGAGGTCACATATAATTCCTTGTAATCGGTTCCCTCTTTCCAACCCACTCTCCATCTACCCTCCCTGTTTCGCCACTCACATTTACAGAAGTTTTATCAGATAGGCAGACATGGATACTTCAAAAAGTTTGTGGAAATTTTCCATTTTAATTCCATTTTTCCGCCCACAAACTTTGAAGCACCTTCTATGTGAAGCAGTGTGTTTTCACCAGGGATAGGCAAGAAGAATCTATCAGGGAGCATTCAAAAAGTTCATGGAAAATGGAATGAAAAGATGATGGCATCTTTTCCAAGACACTCTTAAAGCTCCCTCAATGTGTCCATAGCTATATTACTTTTTTCCCTCTGCACACTAGTCCACAAAGAGACCTTCACATTCTGCCAAAAAGCGCATTTATTTATTAAGGAACCTGATGATTACAAAAGGACAGGTACACTGGAAACATTCCAGAGTGGAAGATCAATCCAACAAAAGATTCAGGAGTCTACTAGACTGGTGCAAGAAATTGTTAGAGGAGTCCAGTAGTCTGGAGTATTCTGGGGTATCCCCTCCAAAGTAAAGCACAAGTATTGCATCTTGACTCTTGTCTTTTATCCAATTAAAGAAACAGTGCCCTTGGTAGGCTTCTTCCAGGTTTGCAGGCAGTATATTCTGCATTAGAAAGTGCTACCCTGATCCGTTTATTAGCTACCAAGTGTGGTAGTTACATAATCTGTCAATTTGAGAATATTACAAGTGGAGGAGTGGAGTCTGTCAATTCCGGCACATCTCATGATCCCTCCGTGTGGGCATGGCCTTATGAGAATTCTGGGAACTTCCTCCCTGGAGA